ATGGACTCCATATTTATAGCATTTAAAAATCATACATTTTTATATAGTTTTTTTTAAAGAACAAGGTGGAGGGTTTTTTTGTAATATTATAACTATTAATAATTATGCTTATTGATCTTTTTAGAACAGACTTTCAATATGTATATCCTATTATAAAAATGCACGTTTAAGAGTATAAGAATAAAATCATTATAGGGTTTTTATAGTGTATATATTTTTCAGTTTTCTGCATCAGTTACACAATTACTGTTAGAAATCAACAATGTGCAACAAGGAAAAACATATTTACTTTTATTTAGAATAGTACAACTGCAGATAGGTTATACATGCTATGAATAATTGATCACCTCTTTTTTAACACGAGTGTTTTTATTATACTGAATCTGAATAAAGCTGCTTGCTGGGATATGCTAGTAAAAACTCGCTCCATGTACTGTAGTGGGAGATTTCTTCTCTCGTTCCTATTCTCTATCCATTCTTGTGGGATAGGATGTGCTGGTGTTGAGTTGAATAAGCACCATGCGCTGACGTCATTTTCGAGTCCACTTTCTTTTATCAACTGGGAGTCAAAGAAAATGGCCGCGCCATAAATAGCCGGGCTATCCTGACACAGTGAGGTAACTATTTGTTCACCTTGGAGGCAAGTTGTGCCTGGAGTCAGCAATGGGTGACTGATCACCAACTGTGACTTTCCTCCCACTTCACTGAGAGTCGAGAATACAACTTCTGTATTCTTGAATATCTTCGTGTTTGCGAGAAAATTTGATATTGTGACGAGGAACATAACATTGAATCCCGTCTGTGGAGGATAAGCTGGAAAGTCTACCTCAGTGATGTTGTTATAAAAGGCAAATCATTAAAAATGCTTCAGACAGTATCTAACAAACTAAGTTCCTAAAAATTTTGAATAAATTTACTATTGAAACGATGAATGATATAGATACTAAAGATTTTAGATTATGTTTTGAACGTATGTATGAAAATAGAGCAACATTATGGGCATAATATTACCGAAAAGGACTGGGAATATATTGCAATATGTATTTAGAGTCAATGCATAAAACAATAAATACCACTATTTAAATGGATGTAAACTTAGGAGATTGGATATTAGTATTGTGAGATTCACACAGGATAAAAAGGTGAGAAGAATGATAAGGCTAAATTAAATATAAGAATAAAAAAAGTAATTAAGACACATCAACAATATTTAACCTAACTTAAAAATTACCTTAATAGAAAAAGGTAACTGGAATGTAGATAATCAACAGACACTGGGCATATCTTATACTGTAAAAAAAAATAATAATGAATTATGTTGTGTAATAGTTTGTAATGCATGTAAAATATGCATTCATACAGTTGAATCCACTTGTTTAGATTAAACTATTAAATTAATTAATTGTAAGCACATTCATAATATTGCATTTAATCAAGAAAATTATATAACAGAGATTATATCAAGAACAAATATTATTAATAAAATATTTACAAGTGATACAAAAGAAATATAAATACACGAAGTCTCTTAAAAACAAAAATTAAAATCATAATTTTATTACATTTTTAAAACAAAAACCATGAGTACAATAAATAAAATTAATTTGATTAAAGATGAAAAACATCTTAAAGAAGCTATAAAAAAGATAGATGCTCTTAATGCATTTAAAGATGCAATATCAAAGTAATCCACACAAAATAAGTTTATTGAAATATATCCACTTAGTTTACCCAATAAAAAAATCTGTAAACAAAATAACTTCCTCAAGAAAATCTAAGCGACAAAAACCAAAAAATGACTTGTTAAATAAACTTTCTTCGCTTAAAACGCGAGTTACAGTAAATTATTTTAAATAAAAATTTAAAATTTTTCACGAAAATTATGAAGAACACTCATATTGTTAGGAACAGTAATTTACGTCATTGTAATTTACTTTATCTAATAACTTTTTTCTCCAATAACAATTTTTTTTCGTATTGTATTATTTTTATTTGACAAATTTTTATTTTTAAATGTGAATTATTCAAGTTTTATAATATTTATTTCAATATTATAGCTATACGAAATAACTTTACTCAACCAAAAATTAAAAACAAAATGGATAAATTAAATATATAAGCGAGTATACTAACTACTAAGTATGATTAACTAAGTTCCTGTTCGTAGTTCGTATTTCTTTCATTTTCTGTACTCTTGACTCTTTAATTCTGAAATCGGAGACACGAGTTAAAAAAAGTGCGTATTTGGTTATCATGCTATCGCACACTGCACGTGCACCAAAATATTAATGATAATAACTCGCGCGTACGCAGTATCACCACGGTTCAATATTGATTTTAGACGCTATTTCACATGCGTAAGTGACTACTAATGATGGGAAATTTCGTTCTTTTTTGTGGATCGTTCTTTTCGCTCCAAGTCTACAAATTCCAAATGACTCGTTCCACCGATCATTTCGGTACTTTTTATCATTACTTATCGTGTACCGGCATCGGACCTAAAATGACTTTATACTCCTCTAGATAGCGCTACCTTCGCTGTCTCAACAATGGCTTTGTCGGCCTGGATAGTAGTTGTGTATGCGAGCGGTCGACATCTGTGAAATAAAGATGCATTACCGCAAACTATGCGATTAAACTTGCTTTTATTAGTTATTAGAATTTTATTCTATGATTATACACAAATTGTACAAAATACAAACGTAGGACAATTGGTCGGTAGGAATATTGCATCTAAAAAATTCGAGTAGAAATAATCGTTCAGATTCGCTCCTCTTTGGACTTGAACGAATAGCGCGTAATCGGTGCACGATACGAATTACGAATATGGAGCTATTTGATTTTGGATATATTGTTCCTAGAAGGAACGAGTCATGAATTAAGATATACACCATAATCAATGGAACTAGTAGGTGCAATCGTTCCGATTCTTTCCCCTCTGGACTCGTTTCAAAAGAATAATTCGTTCATGAACTACCCATCACTAGTGACTATTGGTCTTAGATAGCTGATATAAAGCAGTAGGGATGGGAATTCCAACTCATTCTGCTGATCTGAATCTTTCAACTCAGTTCAGTATATTGAGTTGAATCAAAGAGTCTACTCCCAACTCTTTGTTTGAATCAGATTACCACTACTCTAATCAACTCTTCAAGTCTCGATTCTTGATTTGACTCACAAGTTCACAGTCCATATTCATGAATAACTTATCGCATATGAAACTAATTATGACTAAAAGCGTTTGGATTCACAAACCGTTATCAAGGGAGTAGAGAGTCGTGTATCTACAGGGTAGTACAGTTGTGAGTTGTGAGTTTAACTGAGTTATTGAGTCGCCAACTCTTGTAACACTGATTCGACTCAGCCAGTTCATTTTTAAGAATCGACTAATTCATGAACTACACATCCCTATAAAGCATTGGTTTCGATCTTCTCGCCTAAAATTTAGATTTTTATAACTTTTGGATGCTATGATAACATCGATTTCTGCTGACTATTCGTGCAACTAGTTTCCTACAAAGCTATAAAAATGTAAAATGTAAAAATGTGTACTCATACATGTACATTTCGTATGACATTTTATTTTGGTAACATGTAAGTACGGCTACGTATGGTAAGTCGCAAATAGCTTTGAAATCGTACTTTGCCATAGCAGAATATTGAATCCTTTGCCCGTGTCTCAGCTGCTGATCTTCCAAGACACGTGGATTTTGAAGAAACTCTGGTGATATTTAATTTTCAGCTCAGTTCGGTTTCAATACCGGTGATATCCGATTGAGCACGGTCGTTATGGGCCGTAGGCCGTTTTTACTGACTTGGGCCAATATTTGGCTTGATTTTGGGACGAATCTATAGGTTGAAATTCACTAAAAAAATAAACACTTTGGGTTTACTCAATGTTGATGTATTTATTTATTATTAAATACAGAAATATTATAAAAAAAAATAAATAAAAATATTTTAAACGGTAAAACATCTATATGTTGCTTACCATATCTGTATTATATACCTAATTTTAATGGATATTGCATAACGAAAGCAATGGGATTATGCTAAATTACAATCACAGAACAAAAATAAATCCATACAATGGTTCTCCAGAGTTTTCAACTCAATATCTGAGGGAGAGGACTAATGATTTTATTTAAACTAAATAATATAATGTTATTTTATAAAATATAAATATACATCTACTTTGTATGAGTAAAAAATATATAATGTATTTTGAAATTATCCTATTTATTCACAAAATAAAAATACAAGAAAAATTAATTACAATAATATTTCAATAACAATAATATTAAAAATGTAATATGATGAGATCGTGAACGAACAATCCCTGGATTATACAAAATATTTACAAAAAAAAATAATACATTTAGATCCCTAACAGTCTTGTCGTTGTGCTTATTAACCACCGAATAAGTCTAGTAGATTATTGTAAGATTGTTCGATAGATTCGTTTTGCATATCTCGACAAGACAACGAGATAACATCAAAAAGAGAGAACAATAAAAATTATAATAATAATAATAATAATAATTATAATAATAATAATAATGAAAATGATAATAATAATAATAATAATAATAATAATAATAATAATAATAATAAAATAATAATAATAATAATAATAAAAATAATAAAGATTGGTAGATACCATGACAATCATGGTATACAAATAATTGGTGGGGAGAAAATGGTATTCGATGACAATAATAGTAGTAAAAATAAAAATGTACATGAAAGCGATAAAAATATATAAATGCATATATTTATATATATATAGGTATATAAATAAAATCTGTAATTTTAAAATTTACGTATGTACACTAAGAGAAAGAAAGAGATTGGGTTTTGTACACAAAACATTCAAAAAATTAAAACAACAATAATATAATAATCATAGGCTAATGTGCTGGTGGTAATGCAAATGACGGTGGTCAGGCTAAAATTGTTAACAATGGCACCGTTGTTGCGAGTGAAAGAAAATAAAAATAAAATAAAACCGTGAAAAACGGTGTTTCATTTGGATTACGTTTGGAAGGCAACAGAGTCAAACGCATAACCGGCGGGCGGCGGCACAGCCGCTTTTTGTTATTATTATTATTACTATTATTATTATTATTCTAAATGTAGACGGCGTCAGACACTTTGTTCGGGTGTCCGTTATTGTTATTGTTGTTGTTGTTGTTGGGTGGTGACGATATGCCCTCGGACCAGTCGGAATTGGAGTTGGGCGACGACGAGGACCAGTGCCACGGCGAGTCGGGCGATGGCGTCGGGAAACTCTCCGGTGCCGCGTCCGACGGTGGCGTCAGATACTGCTGCGCGTGCTGCGACTGCGGCTGCTGTAGCGATTGCGGAGTTTGTTGGGCGCTGCCGTAGAAGTGGTGGAACTGACTGAACGGGTCGACGGCCTGCATGGTGGCGTGCCGGAGGGCCTGCATATGCGTGGGCGACGTGGGCAGTGACGGTCGCGTCTTGCCCGGCGACGGTGACATGACCACGCTGTGCGGCGGCGACGGTTCCTGGAACGACGGCTGCATGCTCAACAGCTGCTGATGGATGGCCCGGTAGTCGGATTGCTGCTGCTGCTGCTGTTGCTGATGCTGCTGCTGCTGTTGCTGATGTTGCTGCTGTTGGTGGTGCATGGCCGCCCCGTAGTTTGCCATCGGCCTTTGGGAACCGGCGGGCAATTGCGACAGACATTCCTCGTAGGCGGGTGGTTGCTGCGGAAGACCGGCGCCGCCGTACAGTCTGGACACATCCAACGCCATCAGATCCATGTTGCTGGCACCGCCGGCGCACGTCACGTCCAACCCGAACGGTTTCTTGTTGCTCGGCGCGGCTGCGGTGGACGACATGGCCGCGGACGGCGGCAGAGGAGGCGGCGGTTTCTTCACGCTGTTCTTCCGCTTCAGCGACACGTTCGAGTCGATGGAGTCGGCCGGGCTGGTTGGGTTCGACGGTTTTGGCCTCTTTTTACCCTTTATCGAGCCGCCGCTGCCGCCGCCGCCGTTCAACTTCAGACCGGGTATGTTGATGTTGGAGTGGGCGGACATAATGTTGTGCGGCGAGTCTGTGAACAAACACATCCCAAGGTCAATGTCCGCCGCCGCCGCCGTCGACTGCGTGTTCTTGGGCAGAGGTACCAACGGTCGGGCCACCCGACTTCTCTGCGACTTACTCATGAAGTTGTTGTTGACCGCCACCATGGCCTGCGCATTGGGGTGCGCCACGTGCGAGTCCAGCAGTCTCACGATATCGTGGTGCAACCGCTCACTGGCCACGTCTCGCGGTAACCGTTCCATGTGATCGGCGATCTCTCGGTTGGCGAAATTGTCCAACAGCGCTTTGCACGCTTCAAAACTGCCTTCTCTCGCGGCCAAGAACAACGGCGTTTCGTCCTGAGAACACGAATAATAAAGAACCGTTTAGATATAATCGACACGACCTGTGCACGCTTGATGCGATGGCGGCCACGCTATAGGCTTGGCTAACGTTTAGTGAAAATAAATTTGATATTTCGTTTACCTTGTCATCCTGGGCGTCTTTGTTGGCGTTATTGGCCAGCAATATGTTTACCGCGTCAACATTGTTTACCGATGCAGCCCAGTGTAACGCCGTCTTTCCGCTGTTATCGGGTATGTTGATATCAGCGTCAGCATGAATTAGATCCTCCACCATTCCTTCGATGGCCAGCCTAGCCGCTAGAATCAACGGTGTCGTCCCGTCGTGCATTCTTGCGTTTAGATTTGTTGATCGGTTTCTCAGTAAGATCTACAAGTATACAAATAAAATTAGCTCTCAATTAATCGGACAGTAAAAATATTAATCGATATTAATCAATGGAATCGAATTTCCAACTGGAATTAATTCGTTCCTCGTTATAAAACAAAAAAACACATACTTGGAATGCACCCATAGCATCAGCAGCTACCGCGGCATGTAGTGGCGTACGACCAGTGTTGTCTTGGAAATTAACATCAGCACCCATATCTAACAGACGTTTAGCTGCATCTGCTCTAGCGTATCTCGCAGCCAAATGCAACGAAGTTTCTCCAGTTTTTTCGAGTGTAGCGTTCAATTCAGCACCTTGTGAGACTAATTCTGATATCATATTGGTTGTTGCATCTTGTCCTTCTTCTTCTTCGTTATCAATACTCGTATCCAAACCAGCACCACCTGCGACTGTTACGTCCATCAGTCTAGTTAATCCACCAGGAAGTCTTTCATTCACTTCGGTTTCCTATAAATAAAATATAAGAATAAATACTTTGAATAAAATATAAGAAAAAAAATTTATTTGAGACTAACCCTTGATGGCGGTGTATACATAACAGTAGCTTTATTGTCATTAGAGTTGAGGTTACAATGACTCCAAACGTCATCGTACGGATTATCTAAAGGCTGTGATGATATCGGAGCTGGTCTATGTCTTTTTGCGGGTGGCATATCACCTTCGGCATCCTCATCTGACCAAGCGCCAGCACCTCTTCCTATTGTCATCACACCACTGCTCATATCCACACAGCTTAACGTCATATTATTCTGTTTCATCGTACGAAGTTCCTGGCCATCAGGCACTCGTCTTTGAGTACTGGTTCTACTGTTATTACTGCCAGTGCGTAAGAATCCTTCTGGGAACCATGTTATACCGGCAGCCTTTTTCCGATGGGTTGATATCAATACTCCAAGACTAAGACCAACCACTAATATCAAAAACATTCCAGTCAATACCAACGCTGTACTGCTTCTTGGTTGTTCTGTAGGTATTTGACTCCCGGGACCAACACCTTCAGCTCTGTAGATAGGGAATGAAGTAGAAAGAGCGTGACTAGCAGCAGAAGCAGCCAAAAATCCAGCAGCCTAAAATTATGGATACACAAAATAAATAAATATATTCGGTAAAAAAAAAAAATCGATGTCTTACCCCTGTTGCACTGGAAAAACATTCAACATCTCTAGTTATCTCACATTTTCTATTATCAATTTCTAAATAAATCACAACAGCTCCCGGTGGATTTTCAGCAGGGAATATCATTTGTTTGTTAGATAAATCATCTAATTTTACTCGTACAGTAGCTCGCAGCTCTCGGCCAACCTAATAATATTTTACATCATATAGTACAATATTTAATTAATTAAGATCAATATACATACATCTCGCAAAAATGAAGTTAAGTTAGATAATAGTTGATGATAGTCCATCCTAAGAATTATACGAATAGCACCTTCAGCCAATTTAGGTGGTTCTCTTTCACAATCCATACCGTCCCAATTACATTCAGCATTATTGCATCCATAATCACAGTATCCATTTGCATAATGACTTTGACAATATGCGTCATAAATTGGACTAAAATTAATTAAAATTATGAATAAAAATTTATAATTTACAAAATCTAGATAAAAACAAAACTATATTATACATACTTGCAAGGTAAAAGAGTTCTTTCACAATCTCTTCCATCATATAGACATTCAGGTGTATTACATTCCATGTCGCAACGTCCATCAGCGAAAACTTGCCAACAGTTTTTGGTTGCTGTACAATTTCTCCAAGGATTTAATCCGAGTGAACAATCACCTCCATCAAAGTCACATGCAGCTGTATTACATTCTTGGTGACACCTGTTGTCTTGGGATTTGGCAGCACATCCGTTTGTTACACAAGTAGCCAGCTCTCTTTCCCAGTCATAATCTTTTTTTGGCATGCCTTTAGATAAGAATTTTCCAAGACCGCCTTTGAATTTGGAATCATAAATGTTACAGTTCTTTCCGGACCAATATTGTGGACAGAAACATGCGTAATCTCCAAGTTTATTTTGACACGGACCATCGTGTTCACACGGATTACTTTCACATTCGTTGTAACTATCAATTTCACAATGAATACCTGCCGTACCTGGTGGACATTCACATTGATATCCACCATGTTCCAATGAATGACATAAACCGTCGCCTTGGCAAGGACTCGAGTCACAATCTACGCCGAAAAACTCGCAATTTCTACCAGAGTATTCTTTTGGACACACGCAAGTATGGCCACCTTCCACTTGAGAGCATACACCGCCGTTCTGGCACGGGCTGCTTTCGCAGAAGTTAACCTTTGTTTCACAATGTCTGCCCATATAACCAGCACGACAATTACAATGGAAATTGTTAACTAACTGTACACAGTCCAAAGTTCCATATGGATCGCATGGATTAGATAAACATTCATTAATGTCGCCTTCACACCTGTGTCCAACGAAACCAGCCGGACAACGACAGTCAAAACCTCCAACCCGATCAATACAAGTACCATTATTATGGCAAGCATCTGCTGAGCAGTCATCGATGTTAATATCGCAAATAATACCAAGTGTGCCAGGTGGGCACGAGCAACTAAAGCTATTGACTAAATCACGGCAAGTTCCACCGTTTTGGCAAGGATTGGGGTGACAATCGTCAACGTTCAATTCGCAGTTTTGTCCTTGGAAGCCACGCGGGCACTGACATGAGTATCCCGCAACTAAATCTCTGCATGTAGCTCCGTTTTGACAAGGCGCCGAATCGCATTCATTAATTTCTTTTGTGCAGTAGCTTCCAGAATAACCGTCAGCACAATGGCACCTATGACTGTTACCAATATCTTCACAAACACCACCATTATGGCATAGAGCGTCGCGTCGAACTCCTTTACGAAGAGCTGCATCATTACAAGACACCATTTCTACGTCACATACTTTGCCTGTCCAACCGGGTTGGCACAAACATTGGTACAAGTTTTGCATTTGTTTGCACGTCGCTCCGTTTTCACAGGGTTGTGGTATACCTCCACCACCATTACACCAGTCTACCAGCAATTCGCAGTTCTTACCAGTGTAGCCGTATGCACAGTGACATGTATAGTATTTGCCGTGATCGAGACAAGTACCACTGTTCTCGCAAGGTGACGAATCACATTCGTTTATTCTAGTCTGACAATTTAATCCGGTATACCTAGATCAACGATTAAAATGTTATTTATTTAAGTAGTAGAAAGCATTAAAATAAAATTGAGTTTACTTACCCAGCCGGGCATATGCAAGTGTAGTTGTTAATACCATCCACACAAGTAGCACCATTCATACAGGATGAATCAGTGCAGTCTTGATCATTAGTTTGACAGTGCATGCCAGAAAATCCAATAGGACACGTGCAAGTATACGAATTCACGTATTGTTTGCAAGTAGCTCCGTTTAAACAAGGTTGCGATACACACTCATCGACATCCACTTCACAGTGACGACCAGAAAAACCATCTGAACACATACAAGTATAATCACCGATGCCATCAAGGCATGTGGCTCCATTTTGGCAAGGTGCTAGAATTAAAAAATAACCCGTGGTCATGAGAAGAGAAAAAACATCATAAAAAAATGTGACAATGATGTACTTACAAGAAGCGCATTCGTCAGTATTAATTACACAATCACGGCCCTGGAATCCAGGAGCGCATGCGCATTTATAAGACCCATCGGTATTCTGACAAGTGGCACCGTTTCGACAAGGCGCAGTCAGTGCACACTCGTCCACGTCTTCGTTGCATAACCGACCTTTCCAACCGATCGAGCATTCACACGCAAAGTCTAAAAAGTTGCTAGACGGCGAACACTTTGCCCCGTTACGGCACCTGTTTGGCGTGCAAGGATCCAATCGGCTTTGGCATTCAGAACCAGTGAACGGGAGTTGACAGACACATTTGTAAGCGTTCACCAAGTCAATACAAGATCCTCCATTTTTGCATGGATTTATGGCACAATCATCAATGTTAACGTTACAGTTGTGTCCAGAATATCCGGGCTTGCATTGGCAAGTATAACCATTAACGCGGTCCGTACACACACCACCGTGTTGACACGGGTTCGAACTGCACTCGTCTATATCGATCTCACAACGTTTGCCGGTGTAACCCGGCCTGCAGTGACAAATGAATTGATTTAGGCCGTCTTCGCAGCGCAAAGCGTTCAAAGAGCAAGGGTTGCTGGCGCATTCATCGATATCGGACAAACAACGGGGTCCATAATAACCACGTGGGCATTCACACCGCCAACCGGCAACCAGATCCACACAGCTTCCGCCATTGGCGCAAGGGCTACTAGCACATTCGTCTACGTTCATCTCGCAGTGCAAGCCAGTGAACCCGGCAAGGCAATCGCACGAATACCTGTAAGAAACAGGAAAAATTAACGCCGTTGAAATGGAAACAAAATAATCGTAAATGAAAAATAAATATAAACGTTCGGCCGTACTTGTTGATTCCGTCGATACACTTTGCTCCGTTTCGACAAGGGTTGGACACACATTCATTAATGTTTATCTCGCAGTTCGAACCGGACGTGCCGGCTCGACAGCGGCACTGATATCCATTAATCAAATCCTCGCACGTCCCGCCGTGCTGGCAGGGTGCAGAAGCACACTCATCTAACTGGTCTTCACACAACAGTCCTGTGTAGCCAGGATGGCAGGAACAAGTGAACGAGTTCTGGCCGTCAATGCATTCGCCGTGCTTACACGGATTCGACAAGCAGTCGTTGATGTTGTGCTCGCAATTGAAACCCGTAAAGCCCGGGGAACACTCGCACTGGTAACCGGCGATCGAGTCGTGACATATGCCGCCATGATGGCACGGACTGCTCACGCAGTCATCAATGTTGGTCTGACACCGAGGTCCCGAGAACCCTGCCGGGCACGAGCATTTATATCCATTGATCATGTCCGTGCACACGCCGCCGTTCTCGCACGGGTCCGCTTCGCATTCGTCTACGTCGATTTCACATTGCGTACCCGCAAACCCTAAGAGTAAAAAGGGATAAAAACGTTGTTATTATTATTATTATTATTATTATTATTATTATTATTATTATTTATACCGCATATCGTGAATATTTATCATGGGAACGCGATAAAAAAATAAATAAATAAATGAATAATAGCAAACGACGTGTGTTCTAGATTACAGATGCAGGTCACATATCATCATCGTATCGTATATAGAGAGCGCGCGTAAAACAGGTGTGCGAACGATTGCATGTGTGTGGGAAATGAATAATTCCAAGGAATCGACAGGATCCAGTTCCACGTTTGGTAATTAAAGGTTGACAATCTGGTTTTTAATCGCGCAGGAAAAAAATTAATTATCCGACAACAAAATCGTCGCTCAACTACCAGACCATCCGTCTCCGAGTTTGGTAGGCAAGGACTATTTGTGTTTCATGCACGTTCGTGGATCACAATTCAATTGAGATTAAAACAATACCAAATCAAATGACCAGCAAAATTATTACAACGTTCCTTTACGATATACTACACATATTATTCAATCGACCACGTGAAAGAAATAACTGATCCGTCTATACTCGACATGGTTACTATATTTACTAGATGCCCAATGACTATTTTTAATAATACGGTACTCATAAAAAAAAAAAATGTTCACACGCAAAATAATCACTCATGTAATATGAAGTTTTTATGGGGTTTTAACGAGGAATGATTAAATATTGTTTAACATGATTTTGGACTAATGCCAAAGTCTAAAATAACATTCAAAAATATTTAATTTTGAACCGCATAAAAATACATAATTCAATAAATTTTACTTTAGAAATTATAAACTTTATCCCATGGCGAATATTGTGTTACATACTAAGGTCGATTAAAACATATTGAACGGATCAAAATGTTGATAAACTATTATATATTTACTGTTTTATATTTATTTTGGTTTAGCATATTACATGATTTATAACTGCCAATTAAAATTACTCGTAAATTATAAAAAAAACTCCCGCCAAAGTGCTGTCGCTGAAATACTTCAACTCAAACATTATCCATGTACAATAATATCAGTATCATTTATATGAGCAGGAACTATTTTTAATTGCTTATAATTATTTATTACTGGTTAAATTGTTTATATTTATATTTTATTCGCTTTTTCTTAATGTGCCATACTAACACAGATGTATAATTTTCAATAATGAAAAAAAAAAATTTATTTTGTTAATTTATACGGAAATGAAGAATTCAAACGAAACTTGCCGATTGATTATTTAGTTATGTAAACGTTATAATGTATCAAGCTAATAAAATATTTGATATTAAAATAATTGGAAATTTATATACAATCGTAACTAGTTAAATTTTTAAATATCAAAGAATATATTATATTTATGATATTTTAATTTATGATTTGTTTAGTTGAGGCAGGGGCGTATTAAGATTTTTTTTTTTTTGAAGGCTGGGAAATTTCCTCAAAATAAAATTTCGTAATTCAACCAATTAAAAACAAAAACTAGAATTATAGTAAATAATTTTAATTTTTTTTTTTTTGTATAATCAGAAATATTTTTTACAAAATTAATGAAATAACTAATAAGTACACTAAATAACAAGAAAAATTTGAAACTAATAATTCATAAAACAATGATATTATGAGCTTCTACAATTTTCATTTTACGAGGAAACAGCAAACTTAAATTTATTTCTCTAAAGTTTCGGGAGTCCTCTTAGCCTCCCCGTTAATATACTCCTGGTCGTAAGCCTTTACTATAATCATATACACATTAAGTTACGTGAATGTTTTTATTTGAAAATTGCGTAAACCCTATTGCTGTTAATTTAAAATAACTTTGAAACCATGTGTTATAAAAATTAATGTCTTAGTTTTTTTCCTTTTCCGCCATGCTTACGCTACGGTAAAAAAAAAAAATGAGTTAAAGAGGAAACTGTCTTTGCTACCGAACCAAATGTGATGCCATCTGTTCGTTTAATGGGTTCAATTTGAAAAAACTGGGTTATATATTATTTATTTATTTATTTTTTTTTAATGGCTACGTAAGTGTTAAAAAAATGTATATGGGTGTAATCCTTCCATGCACAGTTTTAGCTAAACACAAGACAATATGTGGGAACTAACTATCCCCCAGTTCTGCTATTTGTTTCGTCAGCATCTATTAGTCAAATTTACGAAGTACGAATTACGAACTGGGACAATAACAAGAAATAGTTTCTTTCCCACAATAACACAATCACAACAACACATCGTAGCCATCACAATAATAATTCGTATTGTTCCACAACACGGTTCGTTCGCGTTATTTGTTGACGGTAAACAATACGGTCGATGTTTACGTCTCGTTCGGTCCGAGTTGTAAACAATGTTCGCACTGGTGGTGCGGTACAGACGACGAACGATCGGTACGCAAGGATCTCGCACGGATGGGTTGCGCAGCCCACGGGAGCGGTACGCGAGCAAACATTTTACATCGCGCGCAAGCCGATCATAACCGGTGACCGGTGACCATCGTTACAACCGTAGCGAAACGCAACGCGGAATAATACGAGGCGGGGGCGGCGGCGACGCGGCGCGTTGGCGAATAACTCGAGTGAACCGATGTAACGCGTCTTATCCTCGGCGGGACGTGTACGTATTACACACGTAACACGTTGTCGCGTGCACTATCGGTGCAACAGTAATAGCGTGTACAACGGCAAAACCGAGTTGTGCACACGCACGATCGTGCCCGGGCGCACCGGAAAACATTTGTCGTACACCTCTAGCCGGTGCGCCGAGCGCCGCTATCGTCCGCAGAGTCCCGCGGCGCGGCAAACGCTCTCGCGCGCTTTCCTTTTATTTTCTTTCGCCGGTGTCTCGTGGGGTACGCGCGCGAGGACACGACCAACGGGTCGGGTGGTGTAAATAACGCGTGTTCCGTGCTGCCGCGGACGGGGCGCGTTAAAATTTATGAACAGTTATACGCCGACCACTCGGAACAATAAATTTACGCACGGAACGTGTACACGCACGCACGTGCATTCATCCCGATACGCGCACATATGAAAATGTTCGATAATGTGCGCGCGCGTTCCGTACGGTGTTGGTGCGCGCACGTCGCAGCGCAGTCGGACCTGGGCACGACCCGCGCGCGTACCGGTTCGCCACCACCGTCCGGTACTTCCCGTCAATCACACGGGCGCGCGCGCGTGCGTTGTAAAAGGTAACGCGCAACCGTTGTCGTCCTCGTGTCTGTCGATTTATCCGCCCGTTGATTTGTAGAACTTACTTATTGACTAACTGGAAACAGGAATACGCCGTACGTGCCGAGCAACGGACGACGGAGACGGGAAAGGAAAAATAAATAAATAAATGATAATAATAAAAATCGTTTGGAATCCGGTTGGATCGGTAATAGGTAATGGGTAATTTTTTTATTTTTATTTTCTCGCATCGTTTTCCATCCAGTCGTATTCTTTCCGTCGCCGTCACCGCCGTCATTACAACCCTTTTAGGAATTGTATCCACTCGGGCCGTGTTCGTCCCGGGACCGGACCAGTTTACTTTCCGCCGCGGCTTATGACGACCACCGCATACCGAGAAGACTTTGTACGCACGCACACGCACACTTGTGCGCCGGACAACACGGCTAATCGTTAGCGCCGCGCGTATCGTGAAAACTCAATAATCATATTCCGTTCGCGGTGCACACATGCACGTCACTCACCGTTCTCATCGGATAACCAGCTATCTCGGTGGCCCGCACGGGAGAGTGGTTGGGAAGGATCAAACGTCGACAAAAAATACGGTCTCGTACGCGGACAACGGACGTCGGCGCGATGTACAACAAATGGTTCATGATTTACCGTAAAGTTTCAGGAACGTTGTAATTAGAGAAATTGAAAACGTCAAATCGGTACAAAACGGCTCATGATGATGATTATTATTATACTCCTCGGCGAAATGACGAGCAAAATATTTTATACACGAAAACAATGCTATCGTCTCACGAGAGAAACATAAATCCTTTTTATATAATGTTATACAGCAATTGAAATACGAACACCTCGCGCGCCATTAGGCGGATTACACAAGTCTGCGTCCAAACTCGTTTTAACGTTGCGCTCGAAACAAATGTGAAGAAGCTCCGATCCCCGAATACTTGTTTATGTGATGTTAACGATCAAATATTTACGGCCCGACTAACTGCGCGCGGGCTACAGCGACAAACCGTATAATTTAACGAACGTATTTTTATTTTTATTTTTAATTTTTATTATTTTTTCATTTCGTTACTTTTGTGAAAACGGAAACCAATCGGACGAGTCACGTCGGTCCGATGGCACCTTCTTTATATTATATTATACTTTATTTAATCAAACGACTATAAAAAAATAAAAATAAACTCCATGTCAACGATTCCAAACTTTCTACACATGTACATTATTATTATTTTTATGATCAAGAGGTGTTCCATAGTTACATTACTATACAAGAGATCCAAGAGAATTTCGTGTTCGTAAAAATTTGCTAACGGTTTCCGGTCGGGTCAATCGGGTCCGTTTAATAATTATTGTACGCGTACGCGTACGCGGTGCAATAACATTCAATAAACAGTAACGAGCGCGTTCGTTAGTTGCGGGCGCGCGCGCTCGCTTGTTCGCGTACAACAATTCCACGGCGTGGGCGTGATGGTTTTGTAGACGACAACAACAAAGCGATAATAGATTAGGGTCAACGCGAAACATGGGGTATATATGCTGAGCATTCGGGAAAAACGAAGAGTAGAGAAGGTATATAAAAAAAAAAAATGATAATAATAATAATAAAATAACTACGTAGCAATATAAATACGTAACGAACGGTGATGGTTTTCCCGGAACAATGGTGCATTGTGTATGTACTCTCGCGGTGCAGAGATAAATATTTGTATGCGGTACATTCCGGGCGGCGAGCGTGTGGTTTTATTCTTTTTTTATTTTTTATTTTTATTTTCGTTGTCCGATTTCGCAAGGTGCTTTCGTCGTCATCATCTAGTTACGCACCATCGACTAGTGCACAGCAACGACAACAAAGCTGCTCTTCCGTACGGGGTCCCTCCGGGGGACGGTAAAAGAGAGTACAGGACGATATTATCCAGTTAATTAGGTGCACCCGGTTTTACGCCAATAAAGGAGCAGAACTTTACTACCCATTAGCGATTGCAATCTTCACAAGGCGAAGACGACGACTGCGTATAGTAGAAAACCGCATGTACGAGACTCGTCTGCCTCGAGGAGCCGACCTCTTATCAGCGTGCCGCGCCGCCTTTTCGATTTAAAACGCGCTTACACACAATGTACAATGGACCGTAAATCTTAAACGAATACACTCACCGTATGACAACGGCCGGTGTGCGGCTTATTTATTTAATACGCCCGTTTTTCGAATTAATAATAATAATAATAATAATAATAATAATAATAGTATCGATTGTCCTCGTCACGTACACCACTAAATATGTTTGGCAAATACTCGTATCTCGTGTACTGCGCAAATTCGCATTATAACCACCACTTAGCTATATATATATTACACGTGTTGAAAAAAAAAATGGGAATATATGCGGGAGAAAAATACGACCGCGCGATATAATCGATGTACCTATATTTCTTCAGTCGGGACAGAGGAGGAGTGCGCTTTAAAAATTATAAAACGGCCACAGTGGGGCGAACGACCGTTCGGATGTGTTTATCGGGTCGGTCGGATCTGCCGAGCATGTACCTATACATACACGAGATCACGCGAGATGTAAAAGATAAATAGAGAGAGAAATAGAGAGAGAGAGAGAGAGAGAGAGAGAGAGAGAGAACGCCGACGACGGAGCTTTTGTGTGCGTACCGGTTGTTCTGTTTGCCGTAGCCGTCGCCGACAAACGCGCGCCAACCGAGCACACGGGGATGTCGGCACGACCCGTGTGACGGACGTGTACAGAGCTATTCGACCGAAACGGAGAATTACGTGTGTTATAGTATCTGAAGCCACGCGAGCGACTCGGCCCAGCCGCTGCATACTTCACTCTCGGACACACGCGCGTCTGTACCGCCGCGAAGACACCGTTTTCACCGTTAGAACCAAAAACCAAAAGTCTAATCTATGACGATCGACCGCGTGGATCCGTCTAATATAATCCGTCAGCCGAAATATCGTTTTCACATATTATATGCTTATCCACAATACTTCCCTGCGGTCCACTTTTATACACTCTATATATATATATATACATATGTAAATACACACACATACGCGCGCATAGATGGTGTCGACTAGACATGGGAACTTGGACAATTTACAGCCAAGCGGAATATAATTATTGCGCGCCTAGTATAGAGTAATAACGTGGCGGTTTTCCCGCACAACGTATTAAAAATTGTTTACTGCTGCGCGTATTACAATACACGTACAACGTCTAATTATTTTTTTAGCGAACGCCGAACGTCTCATTATAATTCCAACACGTAAATTCGCAAACAATGACCACTATATACTATATAGTACAAAGCATTGGATTCACTAAACACATTGTACGAGATAGATAAGGTAAGTACGTAGTACGTCCGAGATATTTTCAAAGTCGTTATTGTCCAAAATTAGTAAAAATTCTTTTAAAATATAGGTTCGTCATAATATGTATACGCCATCGCATCAATTGTTCCTATGCGGTATCGCTGTTAAATTCATAACAATCGATTTCGATGCTATTGTGAAAAATATTGATAAATAAAATATTTCTCTTTTAAACCATTACATCATGTAAATGAGAAACGAAAAACGGTTAACACATTATTGAAAGAAAAAAATAATAATTCCGCGAAATCGTAAGTACTTACATTATCACCAAGATAGTTCAAAAATAAAATTTGTCACCTCATCAGATGTTAAAAAAAAATCTATAAACTCCGGTAACCATCACGGTGTTATTTATCCACTACGGAGGTCGGTTTCGTGCACTGTATGCAAATTAATTTAACAATACAAGATATACGATATTATGAACCACTATCATCTATCTCTTACATAACAAGTCAACGTCGACTAATTTTTAACCAGATTGTCAGTAAAACTATCATAGTCAAACAACTTTTTGCTATAGAGTTACAGTGCAAAGTAATCTGCAGAACTGTTTGATAAAGCGAAAATGCAGGGGTCAAATATGGAAAGCAAAGTACATGTAATGGTAAAATATTTCGCGATAAGTAAACGTTATTTATATATAATATACGAGTATATACCTGGCATGCACACGCATCGGAATGTTCCAGGGTCATCTAAACAGGACCCTTCGTTCTTGCACGGATGTGAGTCACACTCGTTCACGTTGGTCTCGCATCGAGGCCCCGTGAACCCCTGCGGGCAATTGCAAGCAAATGATCCGGGCGTGTTGACGCAAACTCCGTCGTGCTCGCACGGCGATCCTGTAAGAGAAAAAAATATAATTTCATTAACGAGTCGCAGAGGTGTACAACGCACAATGGTAACGTGTGAAAGCTATCCGTCGCCATCGCTGTACAGTCGTGGAGTATATAGGAGTTACATAATATTACAAGCAACACGACGAAAATGAAAAATCGCTCGCCAACCCACAGGCGGCGGCCGAAAATCTATTACGTTTTTTAATTGACTTGTTAACAGAGGCGTGCGCCGCTGTTTGTTAACTTGACAATTTAAAAAGATGACTACGTCTTAATTACAGCGTTTCACGAAATGTGATCCATCCACCGCGAAGTGCATTGTATCCCATTCCATCCCACTTTCTCACTCTCTCTCTTTCTCTCTTTCTCTAGTTCTATCTAATATGCATCATCTTAGTTATCGGCTGGCAGCACAACTCATGACCGTACGGTCAAACACCATTACCTCCCCCCCCCACGCATAAGCTAACTCGCTCTTCCTGTTTCCGGACATTACAGTGGCCCTGAGATGTCGAAGAAAACGCGGATCGTGTACACGAGCAAGTGCACAGATTGTACACAGAGATAAAGATCGCGACGATGTCCGCTCGGTCACCAATATTATCGGTCTGACCGGTGAAAATCGTGTTCACCATTTATAAACACACCGACACGCATTATGTACACGTGTCCGAGGAACATGTATATATATCTAAATACACTTCATTGGAAGGTACGTGTATGCAACGCAATGTCAACAGTGTCAACCGTAAAGCTGGAAACCGCTGGCGTTACGCGATAGCCGTACGTAACCATTTTAATTACCGGTTTCTTATCCAAGATAATCTTTCCTCTTATCCCCCACAATCAAATAACATGCACGCCATGGGAACAGGAAGCCGGTAGACCATTGTTCGGTGGCCCGGATAATGAAGAGAGAGGTTAAGAAATATAAGGAGAGGTAAAGAAAAAAAAGAGAGAGAAAGGAAGCAAAAAGCAAAAGAGCCCTGCGACGATGGTGTGGATTACAAGAATAGGACGAGAAGCAGTAGAAAAAGAAGAAGAAGAGGTAATGGTATTCACCTCCACCCACCCTCATCTCAATTTGCGGCGTGTGGTTTTATGTAGTGGAAACGCGATAGTGTGGGAACCTGTTGTGATTTCGGCGGAGGATTCGTATTATACGTGTACTACATTATATTGTACGCAGTATTTTTATCATACCTTGTTCACATTCGTTGATGTCTTCGGAACAATCGACTCCTTTGTAGCCAGACGCACACGAGCAAGTGTACGACCCGTTGATCGGACTTGTGTCGCATATAGCGTCGGCGTGGCACGGATTAGACGTGCACGCGTCGTCCAGATGACACAGCAAACCTGCAAAAAACACGAGTATTTCTCGATTAGACCAACGGTCGATAAAAAAAAATATCCCAAGCAAATGGCGTTTACTCAATTCGTCTGTACACGGAGACAGGACACGAAAAAATTTTGTTTTTACCCCCGTGGGGTGTGTACTAAATGTAACATGAAATAGTAAAAACGGGAAAAAGAACTCACCGGTCTTGCCGTGCGTGCACTGACAATGGAAGCTGCCCACCCGATCGATGCACGTGGCCCCGTTGAAACAAGCGGCCCCGGCGCAATCGTCGATGTTTACCGAACAATCCTGCCCAGTCCAGCCATTCACGCAAATGCAATTGTACGAGCCCAGCGAGTTGGTGCACGTCGCGCCGTTGTGACAAACGCTCGGCCGCATGGCGCACTCGTCCACGTCCATCTCGCACGACTCGCCCGTCCACTGGGGCGGACAAGAGCACGTGTAACTGTTCACGCCGTCCACGCACGCGCCGCCGTTAAGACAAGCATGCGGTATGCAGTCGTCGATGTTCTCCTCGCAGTTTTTGCCGCGGAAACCTGTGGTTGGAAAAACAGGAGAAATATTTTATTAATAACGCCACTATACATTTGTACTCGTTAATTCCTCCTACTATAAATTCCAGTGCCTGGTCGACCGTGTAACCCTTTCAACTAAAGGTTCTCAAATACCACCTGACAACCCCCGTGTCTGCCTACTCGTCGTTTGCGCTCATAAGATGAACACATGCCAATATAGTTCACTCTACGGAATTGATAAAAACGTGGTTCGCTCGAGGTGCAAGGAACTGGTTGGGGGCGCGTGATGTCCAAGACGCTCCCCGCACGTATTGACGTAACTGCGAAAACGTGAAACGTTCCCCGGGGCTACAGCTGTACAGCGCAGTGCAGTGCAACGATGTACGTCGTTTGTTTCCTGCGCATGAATTGTCGGCCAACCACCCACTCACGCGTTAATCAGCGATACAGAGATATCACGTATTTACGTATGTACGACGCGTAATGGATGGCTAAATAACAAGGGGCGCGGTATAATGTTATTCGTAACATAATTTATTATGTTATGGATAACCGATCGACAACTCGAAACGTCGACACGCGAACATCGGTCGGTGTCAGTTCGAAGGCGCGTAGGTGGGCGCGCGCGCGCTCGCGAAACCGGTGCGCTTGTCCGGTACGCGTAATAATAATAATAATATATTATATGGAATGATGAAGTCGACGCTCTGTAGCCCGGGACGAGCGATACCGTAAACTGGGTATTTTAATCGATTCATCCACGCCGACGACGGTGTGATCTGTGCAAATTCGTCCGACAACCGTTTGTTTCGTCGGTTTTTTTTTTCACATGCGCAAATTACATTCTAGCGCTCATACGCGTCCGTCATCGCTGAGAACGGCGATTATACGTTCTTTTAAATGCTTTATATTCACAGTAGATTATGCACGACACGAGCTCCATAATAGTGTACGGGTACAGTGGACAAGTGCGGCAGCGTAAATGCGATGGAAAAAAAAATGAAAATAAATCGCGATTCATACGGTTGCAGCGGCGAATGGACGTCTATGATCCGTTAGACGGGTGTCGGACGAAGAGTGAAAAATAAAATAAATATAAATGCGTTTATGTATTATATTATACAGACGACTCACTACAGATATATTATATATTATTCTCTGGTCACGATTGTTGCAATAAAAACTCGATGGATCTGCGACGAGTCGGATCGGATATTATAATATTACGCACGCATGCGAGAAACATATAGAAGGTGCGTGTACGTTTGTGCGTGTACGTTTGTGTGTGTGTGTGTGTGTATGTATGTGTGTACGTGCATAGAGACCAAAACGATCCGTTAGTGACTGATACGACGGACAAAAGGGGCGGTAGCGGCGGGATGGTAGGAACGAACGGCTTAATAACGCCGTCGACAGATATGAGATGATATGCAAACATTTCGTGAGATGCTGTGCGCGCACATAATAGGAACGTGTTGCTGAAAGGTACGACCGGCCGACCGTCAGCGTTCCGGACCGACGCGATGACGCGAAGACGGCAACCGATCGTCTAACGCGTACGAACGGAATCATGTGTGATCGATCGTAAAGTAAGAAAAAATAAACACACACACATACACTCGTATGTAATAACCTACGTTTAATACAATAATAATAATAATGATAATGATAATATGTATTAAAATCCGATCGACATCGCGTGCACCAGTTGAACAAATACCGCCACCACCGCCGCCGACGACTTTGCGCACGACCGGGCGAACGCACTATTTTTACGCTCGAATACCATTAATCTTGTGCCGCAGTATTGTATGTAGTCAAAACACGGACCGACCGGCCGTGACGGACGTTCCGAGACAGACGCGATGTGGTAGGATAGACGCACGGCCTTACGGGTAACACCCCGCCGACAGGGGCCTTCTTTGTGCGCGAGAAAACAAATTTAATTTAATTTTTCTTTTTCTTTTTTCTCGCTTGTATAATGAATGACGGCGACAACGCGTATTGTGCAGCACAATGCTATGCTTTAGTTTAGGTCTTCTCTCTGGGAAATTTTCGGTTTGAAAAACGCCCACATGAGCGATTTTTCATCACGCTCGCAGTACTGATTTATTAACGACGACGCGGACGATATCGCGTTAATCGAGCTCCGCTGTCATCACCAGTTACCTGCCCCACTGGCGGTTATCAGATGAGCACAGGTGTCAAAAACCGGTCACCAGCTACCGAGCGAATATTTAAACATTGCGGTCCGTTTTAAATATTTATCTCTCGGACACACGCCACTTACTACTACGACGACCACGCTCTTGGTATTAGAAAGTAATTGATATTTTAATCATCATGTTATGTGAATAAATTCTAATGACCTACCAAAAATGTCGAATACATATTAATTCCCATGAAATGTCGCCAGATAGCCACCAGTCTTTCCCACGAAACCGTTCGCGCCGCACAGATAACGCTTAACCGCATACAACTTCCGACAAATATCAATATTGCTGGCGATTAAAAAAATATTCACAACGGTTGTACCGGAAACTATTCGGATAACAAATAATATAATATCAAGCTTTTTTTTTTTATGGAGCGCTCCTCATGGGAAACTTCAAAGGTACAGCCGACGACATTTCGACAAGTGTCGATAAATCAACGGACGCAGAGCCGTCACGTTATGGTCAGTCGACATTGTTTTTTCTCTCTCTTCTTTCGTTATTGTCATCACCTCCTATCTACCCTTTCCCCCATCGGTGCGTGTAGCCATATCGTATTTTTATTATTAATAATATGATTTTCTCGTGTACTGCGCGCGGCCATGTGATGTCTGTGTACATTATTTACATTGTCCCCCTGTACGCCGGACGTGAGACACCGCGCAAGCACAACAGCACACACGCACGCACAATACTGCTTCGTGTACCCAAAGCGCGCGTTTGTCTCGTCGTACCCCCGGGGATACCTGCTGGCCGGGGGTCATTGAGCGTCATACGTACCCGTACGCGTGTGCACGTGTGGACGATCTCCGCGTACACGAGAGTAATATAGGAGAACCCCCGCGGTCGACCGGCACACAACATGGTAAATAACATTTGTGAGTGCACCGAAATAATGTCCGGTCGTTTTCAGATGGTCTCGGACAAAACTAGTACATTAATACTATTAATATATATATTCTGTGACCGGTCGCATCACAAATGCATCGCATACAGCTATAACTACATAGATATATACGAATACACGACCATACCTGACTTGCACTTGCACTCGTAATTGAGATTGTCGATCTGCATACACCTGCCGTTGTTCATGCACGGCGACGGATGGCACGGGACGTACACCATCCCGCAATTTTTGCCCGTGTAACCGGGTTCGCAAATGCACCTATAACCAGAAATACGAGTTAAAGTTGTGTGTTTAATACATACATTACACTATCCACACATATATTAAATCATGTATCATACCATATTATATATGGTATATATATATATATTATACGGTGCAATGATAATTCATTTCACACGGACTATACTCCATTTATCACTTTATAACATGATTGTATCATTCGCGACTTGAAATCAAGTGTTGGGTTTATATTGATACAATATTACACGTGTAGTAACAACACCGTCTGAGTGAACTTATAGTTGGTATTTCTTAACGGAGAAAAATGTATGAAATAATAACATTTGATTTTTCTTTTTAATTTTTAAAAAAATATTTTGCAATCCAAAATCATAATAGGTCAATATGATAATTAAAATAATAAATAAATAAATTAACGAGGAGAAAAAAATAATTTATTTCTAATACTTTGCTTAGGATTTTGGTTAATTTTTGAAATCAGATTATAAGGTATATTTACATTATAATTAATTTCAAAATAATTACAGTAACAATAGACCATAAAAACGAAAAACTCTTAATAGTGTGTAGGTTTTCTCAACCAAAATTACAAGCAATTAATAGAATAATATATAATAGTGTTATGTTCATTTTTTTAACGCTATCGCAGAAGTCAGTATTTATAAGATATTTTTTACTACTCAGAGACCGATTTCATTGTTAATAAACGATTTTTTTTTCATACTATATAATAAAACAACATGGACTTGAAACAATGGGCCAATTGTGTATAGTCGTCCCGAATGGTTGTTTCTAAGCTTCTAGCTAAAAAATGGTGCGAACCAAAATACAAAATAGTATAAAAAAAATGATCGCTTTAACATACAAACTATAGTTGTGCCGTATTATATTATAAAAAATTAGCGTGGGCGACCATTTCTTATCTTTTCATATGAAAAACAAAATAAAAACACACACTTATACAATAATCGACTTATTGTCCCACGACGATTGTTTTTTTTGGTATTTCACTAAATTTTTCAAAACGGTACAGACGTTCACCTCTGACCCGATTCGGCAAAACCTAAGAAAAGCATACACTTACAAAAAAAAAACATTCATGCCAACAAAAATGCGTATTTATTTTGCAAGAACCGCGAGCATACACATATATTATATTATTTATATGCGTGCAAGCATAGGTAAACTCGATGGACCGGAACTCGTGTGCGTGTAAAAGATTAGATTACCGTAGTCTAGACAATATCGCGTGCTCTATCGTTTTTATTATATTATATATTATAATATTATTGGTTGAAATATATTTAACTCTCTGATTTCCTGCGGGAGATTTGCGTACGCACGTCAGTGACGCAGTTGTGTATGCTACTTTAAACGTGGTAAAATATGATATTTTTCTTTATGTTTAAATGTATGTAATTTATAATATATATATATATGTATACAGTTTTCTCAGTAGGGAAAAATAAAATAAAAACTCGCTCGAATGGATCATTATGCAGTTATATGGCTAAGAACGCCTACGGAAAAGAAATAATTACACGTCCGCGGACGATTTAAAAATTATGGTCCATCGGTTTGCGTGCATCGAATTTTTTTATAAGAACGTGCGCTCATACTCATACGCAGACACATGCACACACTCTTACATTAATTTATACATAGATATACGCATAAGAGTTTTTTTGTCTACATATTTTTCCCTGAGTTTTTATTTGAATACTAAAACTCGAAGACACATCTATTCAGAATGCTCATAATCCGGTTTTTCTATTTGCAAGAGGTTTTCAACTCTAATTAACGTTATCCACCGAAATATATTATACCGGACGTTAGAGGTTATCGTCTTATCTTGTACAGCCATCGATTCAATATTAGGTACAGCGACAATATTTACGACGTACGCAATACGTAGTAAGTATGCCCAAATGGTTCTGTTTTATTCAAGTCCAACAATACTTCGTTTTTAGCGGCGCACACGAGTGTGCGTGTACATCACAACGCGAAATCCCGATGATAAATGATAACAAGTTTTCGAGAACAATAATACATAACACTTACGCGTACGATCCATGTGTGTTGATGCATTGCCCGTGTACGCAGGGCGCGGTGGTCGAACATTCCTCGATGTCTTCGGAGCACGTGGGCCCCGTGAATCCAGGAGCACAAGTGCATTCGTACGAATCATCTTTGGAAGTGCATTCGGCTCCGTTCTTGCACGGTCCCGAAGCACAATGATCCTCCAATTCGCAATTAGGTCCTATAAACGATACAAACATAATATATAGGTCGATGCGTGAAATTATTAGTTGTTCAAATTTAAATATAACAAGTTAGATGAAACTATAATCAGTACATCTTAGTATTGAGCAAAAATATTTATAAGGTACTACATTAAATCGAACGGTATGGACTCATGTCGTGTATATATCACATGCCCACAGTGATATCACCCATTGTGACGGAAAATATATAATCTTGACTAGCCGAGACGTTTGAATCGAAAATGCGTCCAAAGAGACAGGAAGTCAATAGAATAATATAGAGCAGTGTTTTATTTTATTTTTTTTATACAACCAGGAAAATCATTCGTTGACACAATATTTATATGTCCTCGAAAACATTACGTAATTGAGAGCCGGTAAGCCTACAGATGCGCGATATACTTATGTATCCGGTTATGTGCCAGATTAACAGCGAGAGATCAGTTTTCATAACGCGCTACGAACGCATTGAGAAATATGTGTATGGTATAATAATGTGCATATATGTACGTTTACATCGGAGAGAAAGTCTGCAGGTTTTATTACAATATTTCGTTAAACTGTAAACGCATTTCGACGAGACAAAGAGGATGGGCTCGTGCGATTGAAACAATTAACATATATATTTTATTGGGTGTAAGAAATATTTCTGTACGCCAAATGGTGGTACACATGTCGTATTTAACTGTTCACGCGAATCGCACAGGCAATGACCCTACTAATCGCGGAGGATAAAGCGCGCGTTTGTCAGACGGGAAATGTTTTTTTTTTCGGCATTTACAATTATATTATACTGCGCGCAGTATATTACAGCGTGCGCAGCATACACGACCGTTCGGTGTAATCGATTACGTCCGGAACTTCCGAGATCACGATTATTAACCACATAAAATAAGCGAGTTGTGCGAGGGAAAAAAAAACCTCAGAAGACGACCGAACAGTATAACACGGTGACGTCGGTCGGAGGCGTAACAACAACGTTATACAATTTGTTAGCTCGTCGCCACCGCTACGCGATAAAACGCGTAAACTGCCACGACATTCTACCGCCGCCACACGGTGCGAGCCGTATCGGCGGAAAAACCGCGTTCGACGTGCCTACCGTCTACGGAACGCTATTTCTCTCGGCTGTTTACAGATGCTCGTTTTTTTATTTTCCTACACAAGTAACTCCTACAGACATACAGATCGTCGACAGTGATCGTCCGACCGGTTCGACGATTTACGTTCCCGGTGTATAGGTTGTACGCGCGATGACCGTGTGACGACGAGGGATCGAGCGAGTCGTACGACGTGTGACCCGTCGGATTTCCAACACGCGTGCGCTACCATCGCGTACGTCTACGCAATAATTGCCGTTTTCCTTTCCCGCGAACAAGTACCTGTGAATCCGGGGGCGCAGTTACAGCGATGTTCTTTGATGTTGTGCAGCCAACACGTGCCACCGTTCTGACACGGTTTCGCGTCGCACGCGTTCGATATGGGTATCTCGCACAGGGACGCGGTGAATCCCAGCGGACAGTGGCACGAGAAGCCTGGCTGAGAGTGCGGTGACTGTTCAGTGACCGCGCAAGTCCCTCCATTTTGGCACCTGGGCACGGGTCCGGTATGGCACGGGTTCTTCCATTGGCAGTACGGTCCGACGAATAATCCGGTACAGCTAAGGGAAAACAATCGTAGAAAACATATGTTAGTTGCAGTATTTCATTTTATTTTCCAGTTTATTTTACACGATAAGAGACGTATAACACACGTAAACAGAAGAGGACACATACACAGAGAGAGAAAGAGAGAGAGAGATGGTGAGAAATGGATAGGGAGGTATATTATAAGAACAATATATAATAGTATATTAAGTGTGTGTGTGTGTGTGTGTGGAGATAGGATAGAATATCCTCTCGCGCGCGCGCATACACACTACACACGTGTGTACGTGTACAAATATGTATATATCGGCCGCCTGAAGCACGTTCTTACGTGTACGTGTGTGCGTATGCGTATGCGCGCGCGAGCGTTGTGGACAAGGAGCGGTCACGAGATGCCGAGATAAATAAAATATTATATACGCGGCGCGCGCGGTGCAGGGCGAGGCGGCGAAGAGACCACTGGAAATATTGTTTAGAACAAAAAACCAGATCGTATCTCCGACCATAATATTCGGATTCGGTCGACCGGTTCCACGGCCGCCACCGCCGCCGAGAACCTTACAACCGCGTGTACCTACATACAGACACGCGGTGGATCACCTGCGGGCGACTCGCGCATTCTCCTCCTTTCTATCTCTCTCTCTCTCTCTCTTTCTTTTTCCATCTTATTATTATTTTTATTTTTTTATTATTATTATTATAATCGCGACGCATCGTTATGGGTTCGTGAGGGTTTGCGCAACTACTACGCGAGCACATATTCGCTCGTCTAACATACATATATATCTTTCACACACACACAAACGCGCACATACACACACAACCCTGTCGCTGTATTCAACGACCTACCGACGTTTTTAATATTTCACGTTCCCTGCATACAAGCGTACGCGTTTAGCCAAAGATTAAACGAACAAAATGCACTATTGGTCGTCGTTCCGGGTCAGTGTCTGATTTCGAAACTGTTAAGTTTATTACGGTACGTGTATTACACACGCGTGAGTCCTACGGTAGACGGTGACGACGGAGAAGAGTAAACGGGAAATAAAACCATACAGAGGTATTTATTGCGGAGAAGAAAAAATTATAGAATTAAAGTGCATAACATAATGTATGGTACTCGTTTCAACGGTAATTAAATCATTATCATATAAAACCATACAACAACGATACGATGTACGTATTAAGAAAATTATACTCGAGAACACATATCTCTGGATCGCCACCGCTGCCGTTTCCGCTGTAGGTAGTACCCAACTACATCACGGTAATACAGTAATTGTTGTTACGCACAAAATCCACATAAAACACACTGGCTTTCGTCCGTTAGCCTTCGGCGGTCGTAGGTAATTTTTTTCTCTGAATTCTCATTCTCGTTTTGTCGTCAAATCGGGACCTCGGGTCGGATTACCGTACAGTGGTGACTCGCCCGTTAATGGATTGTTTTGCCGACCGTGAAAGAAAATATGGAAGAGACGGCGGCAGTCGCGTGATGGAATGAAACAGCCTAATGATCCCGAGTCTAATATTTTAACAACAACGAACGATATATATGTATACTTTTTTTTTATATATATATTTCTCTTCCTCCACCTCCTATTACCACACGCGCGCGTCCACCTCGCGTGCTGTCCCGTGGTAGAGGAAAATTATTGTGGGTCGGTTTTGAACTCGTTTCGACGACGGTCGGAGACTTAAACGCGCATACTCATCGTCGTCGGCAGTCGGCACGATATCAAAACACAATCTATCTGTGTACAGTTTTTTCTTTTCTTTTTTTTTTCATCGCACCTCACCCGAGCACCACCTAGTTTATTACACTGCAGCAGCTATGACACACAGCGACGAGCGACGATAGTGCCGAAGCACGGGTTAAACGTATACGGTTAATGCACGGAGCGCCATTTAAGACGAGAGAAACATTCCAATAATAATAATAATAATGACAATTATATGATTATATATTGTACATATATTGTGCGTAGTGGTACGTATAGATACCACCGCCTGCCCCGATTTCAATCGACAATATTGAACACAGACGCGCATATGTGGAAGACAACAGAAGAGCTGGTAAATATTACACGCGTACACACAGGCCATACGAGATTATCGATATGCCCCGTACGGCAATAATTAGTTCCAGATCGGCGGCTTCGTGGCCGACCATGACTGCTATAATGGAATAACACTGCGGCGGCAACACGACATGCGCCCGACCGAATGAAGTGAACACGCCGACAAGAGTTTGCATTTTTCGATAATCAATTCCGACACGTCTTAGTGTAAGCGTACACGCATACACAAGCACTATAAACTATAGAAACACACGCACACACACACACACATAGACATAATATATGTACAAGTATATAGAATACTTGATCGCGCATCAACATAAATACGGACACGGACAAACGCGCACTGGTGGCTCGGCTCCGTCTCGACGACAACCGGACGCCTTTTGAATACGAAATTACGTGCGCATACCCGTAGGTGCCGGGCGCGATAAACGTACATACGCGATATATACGACGACGATGACGACGTACGAGCAACGAACGTGTGTACACCGCCAATTTGTTACAAGAACACAAGCGCACGCTTATAGAGAGTGCGAGTAATGTACAAGGGCATTAAATCATCCCCGAATGGACTGCAGAAACACCGCGAATCCCGTAGAGCTCGGTGTATGCGCGCATTATGCAAAACATACACACATATGGGTACGCATCCGCATGGTACTGTGTACACGAGTGCAATAACGTCCGTACAGTGTTACGAGAACCGGAATCTCTCCGATCCCTTAAAACACGATACCGTACGCGGTCTCGTCGCCATTCCGTGCGAGTTAAAGCCGGGGTGTTCGAATACAATATATTACAACGATCACGTTACCCGTTCAACAGTCTTTGTAGTACTTTACGCGCATTCGAAACATGCTGCAATCGGCCGGTTGTATACACACGGGCCGACAACCGAGTCTCGCGCATGTTTCGCATAATACGCTCAGAGGAGACGCTCGTTTTCATTACAATAAAACGTTACTATATCCATCACGCACGAATGGGCACGTTGTACCTACTACAGCACTGGGTAGACGTACCTACGTATCCACCTAACTAAGTATTAATCCTTCGTGTTTCAAATGAATAAAAATTCTATTACGTGAATATTGCGCATCGTGAATTTCAATAAACATGCCGTCCGTCATACACACAATATCATACGCTGGTACAGTCGTATCGTAACCATATTACGTTTTTTTCGTTTAACAGTTCGCGTTCGGAAAGTGACATCGCAGCGCGCGAGTCACTAAACTCGAAAAAGAAAACATCAAAACAATACTGCTGCAACGGTTCCGTTTGACGCCGATATACTTCTGAAACTTCCTGTGAAATGTACACAGCCGTCGCGGTCTCGCGGTCAGCCGTCGGCGAGCGAAGCGCATACGGCCAAATTATACGGGACTCGGGGCGAGGCGAACGCGTGCTGCACAGCCGTTACAACGAGCTGGGCGCACATCAAAACAAAGAACAACTGTCGCACCGCGGATCCATGTATTAAGGACGCACGACCGGTCGCAATCAGATAATACCAGATAACAGTTCGGTAACTTTTCGACCGTGCGTGTGCAACACATGACGCACATGATGCGTACGACCGTCAAACGACGACAAAAATAATATATACGTGAATACACGTTTATTTTTTATTTATTTTTTTAATTCCGAAACACGTTTTACGTGACAATTAAAGACGTCGTCCGGGTACGCGTTCAAACACAAACAACGTGTATACGTGTACATATAAACACACTGGAACCCGAAACGTTAAACCGTCGATCTTTTCGAAAAAAAAACGGGGAAAAAAAAAAAGACTTGGACCACCGATTAATAGTGTTGGAGGGGCGGCAACGGTTAGCGAAAAAATTACGGACGATGGGCGTGGCCCCGCGGTAGATCTAGCGCGAGCCATTCGTGAAATAGAAATATAAGAAACCGTGCGCGCCGCGTACACTACATTACGTATTATACGCCGGCACGCTAGGTCAAAGTACCCGGACGGCGGCGGCGGCGGCGGCGACGACGGTCCGAGAGAGACCTTCGGGCTCCCGGTATTGTACCGCTTCCACTATTACTATTATTATTATTATTATTTTTATTATTATTATTATTAGCATTCTTCTGCTATGGATACACGCCTCCGGTTCGTTGACGTCTTTTATACACGTTTATACACACGCACATACACGCACAATTTATACGTATGTCCACCGGGCACTGCCGTCGCCGCGTACACTACCTTTTTACATAGCACCAACGAATTACCTATAAGCATATCACGCGGCATAGGTTTATTATTTATTTTTCCGCGTGCAACAACAACGTTCCACTGCGTAGCACGTACCACCGGTGGTGACCAGGGGGCGGATTGGCATGAGCGACAGATCGGAAAACTTCCCGGTGCGCCGGTCAGGTCTTCTTCTACGTGCGAGCTACTTATGTATTGTTCGCACATACGTTTGAACATTTTTTCCGGTGTAATACCGTGACTTTTTTTTATAACAATATAAACGAGGTTCACCGTAAGCCGCTCATATTTCGAACGATATCACCGATCTGTCGTCGTCCCTGAATTCACTACTAACTGCTTCGTAGGAGTGTACCAACCTACATAGTTCCACTACGGGTATCGGTATCGCACAAATATAGTATCATGCTTCGGAGGCGGTGGCGGCGGCGGAAACGCATTGTCTAGATGTCGTCGCCGTGCTGGCTCATTAGGCAAACAATCAGCCACCGCGTGTGTAATTGCATTTACATGGGCAATTAATTAATTAACCAGCGGCGATGGGCTCGGCTGTTACGGACCGCGGTTGCGCGGTGTCGTGACAAATGCTCTCGCGTGACAGATGCTCGCCGACCGATAAGCGCCAACAATAATATAATACGGTTGCGAGTGCCTTCATGAATACGCGTTTCCGGAGTTTTGCAGGAGCGGCATCGGGTTT